ATCTGGACGACCTTGAAAACAGCTGATTGTAAGCTTTCGCGGGTTGTTCCCAACAACAGCCTGAGGGGAAGTAGGTTTCCTACACACGTCTGAACTAGTTACTGCAAATACTCGATTGTATTACGTTATTTTCTGATAATTTTTTTTTATTTTCTTGTTATTACCTATATTATATGCTAATCTAAACCTCATTTACCTAACATTGTTTTTTTGTGTTTTACAGGAAAAACTCCCAAAAACTAATTAAAAAAACATTTAATACACCAAATTATGAATTAGATTTCTAAAAAATTTTAACATATAACTTAATTTCCTTTGCTGCGTATTATTTAAAAACGAATTGTCTTTTAAATAAAAAAATATCGCGACGGATCACGTGACACGCGCTGCTGTTCGGTGTAGTTAGCGTAATGTCCTTGAGAACAGCTGTTTATAGCCATTAGCGGGATATTCTCATACAAATCGCAGGGGAAGACAGGTATGTAGACAGATGTGCATCAGTTACCGTAAACACTCAAATACATGACGAATTTTCCCATTCGATATACTATCTCTATAGATAGGGACCAAAGAAATGGTCAAAAAATAAACTTCTATTACGTGTAAAATTACGAAACTTGCTGAGATCAACAACATCCAATAGAATGTAAATTAGCTTTATTTGAATTATTTCGACCAACGAGGAGTTACGTACGATTATTTAAATTTGCCGAGTTATCTCGGGACCGGGCAACTCCTAGTGAAAATGTTGCCCGAGTATACTCGGGACTGGGCGTTAAGGGTTAATTTATCACAGTCTTACGAAAGAAATTTAAAGTGTATGTACGTCAAAAAGATTAAATGGATATTCCGTTGCCAAAATATTAAACCACAAAAAAAGCGAGAGTTAAGTATAACAGTGTGGGACAGCATCGTACCTCCGCAATGTCTTTTGGATACTCTAAATTTCGGTCCTTTTTATGCTCTGGCTCCGTTACCACAACCAGAGATCCTCATTCCGGATATTAAGCTCATCATTAAGGATATGAATAGCACAGATCAAGATTTTATTCGATGGAAAACCAGATTCCGCACAGCGCAAGAGAAAAGCAATAACTTAAACGCAAGACGTTTTCATCTTAGCTTGAAGAAATCACGCCAATGGTTGCTACACAATAATGTAATACTCACGAGGGTGGATAAATCGAAGGTGGTGGTACTACTAAAACGTTCTACTTACAACAAGAGGCTAAAAGAATATATTATGTGAGGTCAGCCGATTAGGATGAGGGTTTTTCGACAGCCGAGCGGTTCTTTCTGTCGTGTGGGCGCAGAATGACTTTCTGAGACAGGTTTATCATTTTTAACCCGTTTATTAAACATAGAAATTTTCCTTACAAATTACTTGTTAGACGAGGTAGCACCCCAAAGCGCACGGATAAAGTTCGAAATAAAGTTCGTAAAAGTCGGTTTTCGTCACTAGTGGATGGACGCTGCCGGTGAAACACTCGGTGGGCCCCGGGGCGTTGATTACGGCTTTTGGCGGCTTCTCGCGGACGAACCGACGAATCTGTTGATTGCTAGGAGCACCCAGAGAACGATGCTTCCACGATGTTCCAAAATGTCCTTTTTTTTCTAAGATCTGGAGCACGCCCGTCCAGGAGACGACACACTACGTATCCAACACCAAGAACCAAAAACCAAAAAACCAAGAACCTTCGTCTCTTGAGTCGCACAAATTTATAGATTTTTTTACAGCAGTCGCCTCTCCATTGGTCTCTCATTGTCACCTGGTGACAATTCGAAACCTAATGGAGGGCGCGGGAGAGGTTAACATAGCGACTGAATATGATCCTCTCTCTCGTCGCGTTTTCCTCGAATTTCTCCGTTTCCATTGTTTAACTAATTTTCCGAAAAAAACCAATTGCATTGTTCAATCGAGACACCTAATCCGTTTCCTTATCGTCTGAAAAGGAGCTCTTTATTTTCGATCGAACCCATAATTCGGACCTCTCAGTCGACCCCTGTTCGGGTCCTCACAATTACAAGCACAGAGTGCCAATCTGCACCCGTCAATTTCTTGGATACTTTACAACATAGAGTTAAGAAATTCACTTCCACCGCTTTAGCATGGTGTTTGCACATGCAGAATTCCACGATCCTCGCTCCAAGAACACCTAAATTATTTGCATTTGTGAAGACGCATAAACCGGGTAACTAGCTACGTCCAGTCATTGATAAATACGGCTCCCCCCAACATTCTTGATTGAGAAGCAGTTGGTCAACTTCTTCCGTGCTAGAGACCACCTACATCCATTTTCTATTTCCAACTCACTACAGCTGGTGGAGAGCCTCAGAGACATTTCTCTTATGGACAAAGAATGTATGACCGTATTTGACTACAAATCCTTGTACCCTTCGATAAAATTACCTCCTTGCTTTTGTGCCGTTGGGGATTTTTTATTTACCAATATAGAAAATGCTCCGTCTTATCATGTTAATATCCTGGAAGTAGCGCATTTAATTTGTTACACATTGTTTTTTGAGTTTGAAGGAAATGTCTTCTTACAAGGAAGAGGCGTACCTATGGGTAGTCCTACATCTGCAATCCTTTGCGAATTGGTTTTGCGTCAACTTGAAAACGCCATTCTACCTGAATTTCAACAGCAAATCATTTTGTATGCTAGATATATTGATGACATTTTCATACTTTGGCGTGAAGAGCCTAACCTACAATATTTTTTAAACAAGATCAACAATAACCCTTACGGTTTAACATTGCAGCTTGACCAGAAGAGCGACTCCATTGTTAACTTCCTGGACATTTCCATTACGCGCAAGCGAGCGGAGATCTGGACCGATATTTACCGTAAACCCTGCTTTCAACCCGTTATCATCTCACACCAATCAGTCGATACCAAGCATATCAAATTAACAGTTTTCAGATCATGGATTAAACGTGCTTATACACATTGTACAAGTTTCTGCGACACGATAAGAAAGCTAAAGTACATTTTTAAGATAACCCAACTACACGGATATCCAAAGGAAGAGAAAGAGGATCTTATTTCATTCTTCCAATCCACTGCACGGCATTCTCCCAGGGTTGACCATAATAAAAGAATAGTGCTTAATTACATCCCATTTTTGAACAAGATACACAGATCTACCGCCAAGTCTAATAACTTTCACATTGTATACCAGCACAATCCCACTATTTTCAAACTTTTAAGAAACGATAGAAAGGAGGATCGGAATGCAACAACGGGTATGTATTCGGTGCCTTAACATGACCAATGATTCGATTCCAGGCTAGTTTATATGGGTGCGACGATGCGCGGTCTAAAGCAAAGGCTCAAGGAACACAAATATATGATTGATAGAAACCTTGATAACACTGTGTTGGCATCATACGCTAAGCAACAAGATATTAACGTGCAATGGGATCAAGCGGCAATTATAAAAACGACGACTAACAGGCAAACGATCAAACATCTAGAGAGATTGGAAATCTATAAAGCGCACATGAAAACCAAGTGTATAAACCATAGAGATGCCGACTCATTGTCTACTGCATGGAGGTCCTTTTACAATTATTAATTTTTCACTATTTATTTGATTTATTTGTTAATTTTTCATTAGGGCGTCCACTAGGGCGTTTCCGTTATTTTAATTTTTGTTTTTTGTATTTATTTCGAACACATTTTATGTTCTATATTTAATTAATATTCTATTTTTGGTAACTGAGGATGATCGTTGAAAAACGATTGAAAAAGTTTTTATTTTATTAAATTTTGCTGGATTTATATCGGTGTAGTTTATTCTTCTACTTCTACTTCCAGTACGTATTTATTATATTATATATTATAATTTACATACATCTAACTAATTAAATCAATATTTTATTTAATTATTTAACACACAAACATTTATTTTATATTTAAAAAAAATGTATTTATGAAATAATATTCAATTTTGCTCTGTATGTTCAGAAATGTTGAACCACAGTAGTTCATTTATAAAATTTTAATAGACAAACTTTTCTACAATGAATTCAAAACTTCATTTTAATATTTAATGTTACAAAGAATAACAATGTTTCAAGAGTATCAATATCTGATAGATCTATTAATCTTCTTTAAAATTAACAGCGTAACAGCATTTTATGGAAAAAAAACAATATGAATTATATCATCAAACAAAAAATTATTATTATGATAGTAAATTAAAATGATCATTTTTCATAAAAGCAATAAAACTTTAATTATGTAATTGACTAAATCCCAAAAACTTCCAAATTATAAGACAAGAATTTACTACTATGATATACCAATATCTTATAATAATAAAGTTTTACTGTCTGTTCATTGCCTGAAGAAGACAATTTTGAATTTGTCAAAAGTCCTTGTTATTCTTAATTTTATATTTAAAACTCATTTAATGCCAACAGACAGTAAAAATTTCTTTATTTTTATTCCAAATTATATTTATGATAATACTATCTATAATCTTCTGCACTGTTGTTAATATAATTTAATAAAATACAGTAATTTATACTGTGCATTAGAAGAGTTGGTTTATAATGAAATATTTCTTTGGCAATGCAAACAAGCTTTACAATTATTAAAATTTTACTGCAGTTAATATTTTTATTTTGTAAATTTTTTACATCAAGAATTTACATAAAAGTAAACTTATACAAATTATTATGTTAAAAATAAATAAAACTAACCTCTAATTTACAAATAACCAGACAAAAAGAAAATCTTTAAAATTTAGTCTTAGCTGATGCATTATTCTCATTCAACTTAAGAAATTTTTCTTATCTAAAACTTTCAGTAAGTATATTAGTGATTTCTTCATATAACTGTAACCTAAATAATTTCTACTATAACTTTATTAGTATTTTTTGAAGCTAAATTTAAATTATAAATCAATTTGCTATTAAAAAAAATATTATATATATATATACATATACAGATATTACAGAATTAAATTTTAAATAAAAAATGTTACTGTACCATGATAATCTAGGAACTTCTCCACTCTTTATACCTCCTTCAGGAGATAACAATGGCCCTAATGCTTTTAATAACTGTAATGGATCAATAGGAGCCTAGAAAAAAGCAGTAAATAAAATTATAAATTATATAACTTTCAAAGGTTTGAAGATTCATAATGTGTATATATATATATAATGTTATGGGCCAAATGATTAATAGGGCATTATTTATAATGTTCGGGCATTATGAATAATGACTAAAAAGGTGGCCATGCAGCTTGATAAATATTGATTAATTATTTATTAAATTGACCACACATTTTGAATAAAACTACATTCCCGCTGGGAAATTTGATTTTCAAAAAGAAACTTCACTTTTTTCATTAAGAATTATTTATTTTTTGTGAATTGTTCCAAAATATTTTAAAAATGACAAGATATCTTTTAAAATTAAGTATTATTAACTATATTAATTAAGCTAATGTTAATGAAAAGTATTATTAGCAAATTTATACATCAATCAAAAATCAACTTAAAGGAAACTTCTGGGATGTCATTTTTGGTATAGAGTATATAAAAAAATTAAATATTTCTTTAGTTTATTTATTCAAGCAATTAAGACTTTGATAACATTTAGGATTACATAATTTTTTTTCTTTGTAGCAATTACATCTATTAGATTTATAACCAATTGGGAAGCAGGTGTCAAATGATCACTCCTCAACGTATTATCATCACTTTGCCCAACCAGGTGATAGCAGTATTCATGACTGGTCAATCTGATAAAATATAATAAAAAACCTGAAATTTATTACCTGATTACCTGAGTGCCTGATTTTTTTTTGTCATTATTCATAATGCCTAGCCATTATGAATAATGCATGTATAAATCACTTAGTCCATAACACACACATGCACGCGCAAGTGCAAGTAAGATAAGTACAAGATGAGAATGGGACATATCAATATAATTCACAAACAAGACAGAAGACTGTCTTTTAATGTTAATTAACTTTAATTGAAATAATAAGCTGCACAAAGATAATACAAAGTTTACAACTACATGGTAAACATCTACATCCAAACAAAACTGGGGTAAAGTCAACAATGTACTGGTACCTAGAACCTGTTACTGGTGTGAGTTACATGAAGAATAAAGTACATCACAAATGTTTTCAAACAACTTAAAGTTCTTCCTCAGGTGATACACAGAATAACTTTTAAGCTGTTCGAAATGTTTGTGATGTACTTTATCCTTCATGTCACACACCGGTAACAGGTTCAAGGTACATTGTTGGTTTACAACTACTTTCAGCAACTTAATTTGTTATTGTCAGGCAAATTAAAAACTAAAAGAAATAATAATAATTTGAAAAGAAGTTTCAAAAATTAATATGTAAATGTAAATATCACAAATAAAATGTTCTAAAACAAAGGTATTACAATGTCTATGTTAAAACTTTGACAAGATATAAAAATATTTGTATACATAGTAAATGTTAAATCAGAAAAAAAATCATTGGACTAGGTACCATATTTAAAATAAGAAAACTGCTAAATTCAGGATAAAAATTCCTTTTTTACTCAAACATTTTCATTATTTTAAAAGATCATCATCAGCTTCAAAATTACAGTGTGTATTAAAACAAATTCTAAATTTTATTAAATTTAAAATTATAATATAATTATACTCAAACTTAATAAAAATAAATTAAAACACAAAAGAAACAAAAAATTAAATATAATGGTATAATGTTAAATACAGACTCAGCAACTCATATTACATGACTTCAATGATTTCAACAAATACATCTCCCCATATATTGATGCCATTTCTAAAACTAGAAAAGTTTTTTTTTTTAATAGAAAAGATAATCATATGCATCTAGAATGGCAGTCCCACCTACTATCTAAAGCATACTAGTAATGAGCATTAATTACTCTAATTTTGCTTCTAAAAAAATATATGTAACACTGTTTTATTAATTGTATCCTACACTTAAGTTATCTGCCCAGCTTTTAATGATTATAGAGCTTTTCCAAAAAAATTGAACCTTCTTATCTAGTGCCCATTGTGTCAAAGCTATAGCACTTCCTTACTATTCTGTATAGAGCCATAGTGCTCATTAATATGCTGACATAACATTCTGTATGTCAATCCTAAGCAGTAAAAATCCTTTTCTTCTTTATTAATTAAGTTTTATCATATACTAGCAGGTAAGCCTGGTATCGCCCGAGCAAAAAATAAAAACAAATGTTAAGATTATTTTGTACTTCTAACCCTTCTATTATATTATATTATAGTATTTGATCTATACTTACAAAGGTAGTACATAAGAGTTTATCACACCAAGTGCCCAATCTAACACATTTTAAAAATTCTTTAAATTGTGTACAGTAGAAAAATAAAGAATTTTTAAAATGCATTAGACTGGTCACTCATTATAAACCCTTACGTAAGATAACCTTTGTAGTTACATAAATCAAATACTGTAATATAGCAAACATTAAAATGAAAACCATTAAAAGAGTTTGGTTATTTCAATCTACCATTGTCACATTTATCCTATACTCAGATGGTACAAAAGGGCACAAATTCAATGGTCAAGTAGACAGGAATTGAAAATATATCTTATTTTTCAGATATTATAATGTTCTCTCATGTTAACTCTAAGAAACTATATCATACACAGCCAAATATCAAATGGTAACCTGCCAACAAATCAAATTTCAGAAAAAAACGGACCAAATATTTACACTTGGTACCCTCAAAAACCACTTACATCATATTTTGTGCTGGTCAGTAACCTTATATTATGTAATTTTCTTATTCAAATACCACCACATCACACCGCTGGTCCAATAGAAAAAAAGAAATGTTGCAGAAGGGAGTTAAAGTTAATTCAACTACTCACTAATACCAGTCTACTATTAATATTTGAAAACTGATCCATGTTGGATGGTTGTAATGGCATGTGATTGAAGTTGCTAACCTTAATGTCCGAAAGACTTCATATGACTTGTTTAAATAAAAAAAAATTTTAAAAATGCAAGAATAATTACTTTTATGTGATGATAAATTTAAAAAAATTTTTGCAACAGATTGTATAAACTATACAGATGAGTGTTGTCATAAATATTGCATTTATGGAAAAATTATTGGGCTGCAATTTGAAAAAATTGTAGACCAGTAAATTCCCTGTCTTCCCTTATCTATCTGTCCTTCCTTAATCTTGAGGAATAAGTTAGATAGATGAAAGTCGAGACAAGATATGAAAACTTTAGGGCAGGGGCCCAGATTAACTGCATATGAACTTCCAGTTTAGAACAAAAGTCACATTACTTCAATTCAAAATTTCCCCCTAAACAGAGTTAGACAGATAACCTGTACAACTTTATTGCTAACAGGAAAAGTATGATGTACAGGGGCAAGACCACAACTAAAAGAATTGAAATCATTGTGACGAAAAGTTGCAATCCAGCATTATGATATCACAATAAATAATTGCTTGTTAGAATTGGTTTAGTTTATTTGATTATGGCAACGCGACATTTGTGAATGATCTGCCAAGGAGGATGCTTCCCGGAAAGACATTTACGTAATGTTGGCCCCAGTTGAAGTGTTACCAGCGCAAAGAAAACCCAGAAAACTCCATTTGGCCAGTCCATTGGTCATGCCCAAGCCGATGACCAACTAACAATTGTTTAATTAAATTGCCTCAATGTCCTTTTTTCTTATTAATATGTAAATTTTCGACTATAAATTCGTATCTTCTATACAGGTATACGAAATAAAATAAAAATTGTTTTCTGTTAATCTTTGTAATATTATCTGTAAAACCAGTATAATAAGTCCTGATAATAGAAGATAAGAATTTATAGTCGAAAATTTACATATTAACCAACTAACAATGTTCAGTGGTTTTATCCACTTGGTTATACCTATTCTAAGATAATCCAAGATAGTTCTAATTAGCTCAAAGCAATTCTAGCTAGTCTTAACCAAGATATCATTTTGGTGTCCCACTATACAAACAATTAGGAACATCTTATTTATGAAGTTTATCTGATAATGAATTAATACAAAACATTATGAATCATATTAATTCATATGCCTCTATGTCCTTATTTCCTACAATTTGTTGAATTTTTGTCTACAAGGACTAAGCTTATTAATAGGATGCAACCAAAATACCAGTGCAATACATCCGATTAATAAGCTTAGTCCTCGTAGACAAACATTCAACAAATTGCATTATGAATCATATTTATTTTAAACAAAATTTTTGAACAGGAGAATTATAGTGCATAAAAATAATAATAAACAAGGAATACAGCATATAAACAAAAACACTGCACAAGACTATCTTGCTTCTGTTACATACTAGTTAAATACAAGTGCTTGAGAGTATAAGTAAACAGTAGTGGACAGTTCAATGGTATGGTAGGAATGCAATCCTGACCCATTCTCACAGGGATCTTAAAATGAGTATAAAACACTTTGTTCTGTTGAAATTCTCAAGAGGAAAGCAGCTGAATGCCATCCAGAAATAATATATGTTAAATTTTTGAACTATTTCAGAATAAGCATTTCTCAGAAACAAAAACAGAATCAAATCAATATTTTATATTCACCGATTTCTATTATATACTAATAACAACAATTTAAAAAATTTTGTTTCATCTTCTCCTGTGTGTTCTGTTGCCATATATTACAGTTGAATTGACTTAAAAAACAGTTTAAAGTTTACCTATCACAAAATAGCACATGTATGCAATTCAATGGGTGCCAGTTTTTTCATTTTTGAATGGAGGATTACTCTGCCCATTTAAATATATGGAAGAATATGATGTCACAATATGGAAATGATGTCACAATATGATGTCACAATATGGAAATGATGTCACAATTTTTTATCTCGTTTCATAAGCTTTAAATGTGAGGAATAATAATAGTAATAATAATGCGTAACAACACTCAACACTAATAATAATGTAAAATAATAAAACAATGATGCTACACAAATAAAACTAAACTAAACTAAAATTTTAAAGGGTTGAACTCTAGTGCTTAGCATCTTATTCACTCAACTATTGCCACTCTTGGATATGAAACTTCCAAAGATTTATAAACTAAACCCTAAATTCACAGAAACCCA